TGCACTGTGCAGTCGAGTCAACCTGTTGAACCAACCTGTTCCCCCACTCACCTGTGGGGGCGCTGCACCAAGAACTACTGAAAGAAACGACACAAAAACCTCTGAAGACACGTCTTCTTCTTCTTCTGTAAATAAAAATAAAAACGAAGTGGCATCAAGTTTTAGCAGTTTTAGGAGTTATATTTTGTCATTTTTCAAAAATGGACTTAGCATGAGCAGAAGATGAGACAGAAGACCATTTGACACTGTTGATCACAGCATCCTTATGTCACGGCTAGAACACTGGGTTGGGATTACAGGGGTGGCGCTAGAATGGTTCCGTTCTTATCTGGGTGACAGGAGTTTTTGTGCTAACTTTGGCAATCATTTATCTGCTTCTGTCCCTCTTTCCTGTGGGGTCCCACAAGGCTCCATTCTTGGACCCCTTCTGTTCTCATTGTATCTGCTCCCCTTGGGGTCAATCCTGAAGAAACATGGTATTTCGTTTCACTGTTACGCCAATGACTCTCAGATCTATCTACCTTTAAAACCAAACAATTCTTGCTCCATCCACCCTTTGCTAAAATGTCTTGATGACATCAAGACTTGGATGGCTGCAAACTTCTTGAGCTTTAATGATCAGAAGACTGAGGTCATTGTGTTTAACCCAAGCTCTACCACTGTCACTGATCCTGTAAACCTGCACTCCCTTCAGCCACATCTAAAGCAGTCGGTTACCAATCTTGGGGTAGTGTTAGACTCGGACTTTAAGTTTAATAAACAGATCAACTCTGTTCTACAAAAGAGCTTCTTTCAGTTAAGGCAAATAGCAAAGCTTAAGTCCGTTCTGTCCAGATTCGACCTTGAAAAACTAGTCCATGCATTTATTACTTCCCAGCTGGACTACTGTAACTCACTTTATGTTGGGTTTAGTCAGGCTTCACTCTCACGTCTCCAGCTCGTACAAAATGCTGCAGCTTGGCTTTTAACAGGAACTCATAGGTTTGAGCACATTACTCCGGTTCTGTCCTCTCTTCACTGGCTTCCTGTACGTGTCAGAGTTGATTTTAAAATTCTCCTGCTGACATTCAAGTGCATTAACGGCCTTGCACCATCATACCTCTCCGACCTTCTTCATCCTTATGCTCCTTCTCGGGCTTTGAGATCATCAGACCAGCTGCTTTTGGCCGTACCAAAAACCAGGCTGAAGCTCAGAGGAGATCGAGCGTTCTCAGTCGTGGGCCCTAAACTCTGGAACAATATGCCCATCAACATTCGACAGGCCACCTCAGTCTCTGCCTTTAAATCTCTCCTAAAAACACATCTGTACTCACTGACATTTAACAAAGGGTGATCAGCTTTAGATCTGGTTTTTCATTGATGCTGATTCTGTTTATGCTTTTGTTATTATTCCTATTTAACACAAGGTCATCTGATCTGATTTAGTATTTCATTGTTTCTGACTGAGTTTATGCTTTTTGTTTTTATTTCCTTGACTTTTGACACAACGTGATCTGATTTAGTATCTCATTGTTTCTAATTGTTTTTGGTTTTATATTTTTATTCCATGTGCTGTAAATATATCTTGCTACTTTTTATCTGTTGATGTGATATTTTTGTTAAGCACTTTGGTAACAGTTTCTGTTTTAAATGTGCTCTATAAATAAATCTGACTTGACTTGACTTGACCATGGAGAATATTGTTTTTTCACACAAGGCAGCTGACGGCTCCATGTAAGGTCAGAGAAATGCGTGTTTGTTTACCCTGCGGAGTGGGTCCCGGTCTGTTTACATTCACACTGTACTCGAACCACGCTGGAGTTCTCTTCTACCGAACCGAGATCTAGGTTTTAGCCCGGGCCAGAGTTCTCCTTTTTGTTCCGTGACAGAGTTCGATGGCGCGTTCACACCTCCCTAAACGAACCGGTCTTTCTAGGAAAAAGAGCTAGAGTTCGATTAAAGCGGACTAAACAGGGCTGGTGTGAATGCACCCTTATTAGCAAAACTTTAAATATTTCTGGAATTTTGTTGAAAGCGCAAACACGAAAAACCAATCAAATGACAACCGTACAGAGACATCATCAAATCATTTCTAGCTGATATCATTAGCATAAAAAATTAAACGAGCATAAGCTGATACCGAAACAGAGCTGATATCAGCTTAAGTTAAAGCAGCTGTTTTGTGCTACGACTTGCACATCTCAATAACTTATAGAGTTGGAGGCTATCGGCTCAGAGGAGAAGGCTGGAGTCATTTCCAACATCAACACGTAGATGTTCTGTTTGGTGAAATGTTGGTGACGGCAGACTGTTTAAACCCTGATCACTGATGAAAATGTCTTACCAGCATCACAGTCATGAAAAGGAGTTATGAAGTCATAATCAACAGCAGCTGTCAATCAGTTTTGAAGAGCGACATAACATACATTTTCAAGAATCTAAAAAATATTATTTAACAATGAATTTATCTTTATTCTTTGTCTTGCAGCAGTCCCAGCTGAATGCATGCAGCTCAAACTTCACTTTGTTTTCTGTAACTACAGACAAGATCATGAAATCTGATCCACATCAAAAGCATCAGATTGTGAACGTTTGAATAAGACAGTTTTAAATCTTTAACTTTACGATTATTCATGTTTCTCGGAGGAAAATCAAAATCCTCCTCTGGGTCTGCAGCTTTGCCTCTTGTTCAAAAATGGTCTCATTGTTTTGACTCAAACACACTAAGGGGTTGTTTACATGGTGTGCATTTTGAGTGAATCCGCCCCTTTCTGTCTGCAGTTCAGCTGTTCATTTACACACCAGTAGCCCCCCTCTTTGAACCTAGAGGTTTCTCAACCCACCTCTCAGAGTGGGTTTTTGGGATGCCGCCTACTGATGTCAACATTTCCCACAGGCGTATATTTCACGCACACACGGACCAATGGCATTTTCTAGCAACAACAATGGCGGCGGAGTAACATACTGCTTTCTGTGCTTCAACTGATGGAATATATTTTGGGCCTCGTAATTAATCTACGCCAGAATATAGGTGCTGTGACCGACGTCTGTGTTGGGAAGAGACACCAGTCGGATCCAGTTCAAAATCTCTGAACGAGCCTGTCGAGGCAGGCGTATACTTCACGCTTCGTGCTGGACTATAACATACTAAATGTGCTAAATAATTACCGTAACAAACAGTATTTCTGTTAGTGATGGGAGATGTAATGAAGCTATCTGGACATTATGTAATTCAAGTAATGTGATTTAAATGATGCAAAACATATTTTATGTTATTAAAGTTGAAAATGAAGACATCAGGTTTAATATTTATTTATTTATTCAACACCACAAACTGTATGTCACACAAAAACTGATAAGAAAACTGAACACACTATTAAAAACACATTAACCAAACTGTAAGCTGAACTGTTCTCTTCCTCTCTTTTGTCGTTCTGGGTACTGACACCATGTTGTTTATCTGGCTTGTACAGGCTGTCACTCCTTTGCTTAATGCAGCTTAAAACATTAAATGGTTTGAAAAAAAGAACTGAGGGGAATTATAAGTGAATAGTTGAACAACCCCACGTTCTCTGAGGTCAGCGGGCCAGTTAATTCTCACAGTTCCAGGAACTCATCTTAAGCGCAGTGGTGACAGGGCCTTCTCTGTAGCAGGACCAAGACTTTGGAATGAGTTACCTCTGCTTGTCAGACGGGCCCCCTCCCTCTCGGTTTTCAAATCCCGTTTAAAAACCCACTACTATTCAGTAGCTTTCAACACCAGATGATCTGTGTTTTGAACCTGTACGCTCCACACTGGTTAGCCGTCATATTTATTATCTGCGATGTTTTAATGTCTATACTCTGATTTACTTCATTTTGTATTTTGCTTTGTGTGTTGCCTGATTTTCTGTCTGTACAGCACTTTGGTTGGCCTTGTCGCTGTTTTAAGTGCTCTATAAATAAAATTGTATGGTATGGTAACATCTCTCTCCGATGTCCTCCTTCACCGCCGAACCTCAACCTGAGCCGAGGTGTAAGCTTGTTCGGAACCGGTCCGCCTCTGGTGAGAGGATAGCTTCTCCTCGCAGGAAAAATAATAACAGTTGGTTGTTTTGTAACCGAAGTAAATACAAGATAACATTATTAAGAACGTTGATTTATCTGCTGTAAATTGGCTGGATTACTGATTACCACAGGAGTGGGAAGTCCAACATCATCCTCGTCCGTGCTAGTTTTCTGGTGTGGAGCTGTTAGACGAAGCGGTCCTGATTGGCGTCAAATCCGTCGACTCATTTCCAAAATTCAGCTTTAAGTTTTGTTGTTACTGGGCTAACAGCCCAGAGGAAGGACCTTACAGATGGCTGTCCCGGGCAGCGTGCATGTGCATTAGGTGAATGTACAAAATTCACAGCGCCAACTAATGACCTGGCATGGCAACACAGCAGATTCAGGGGGATTGCTGCAGTTCAATGTAAACACCGAAAATGCTCCTTGTCAATGCAGATCTTTTCCTTGAATCATCATCCGATAAAACCTACATTTCTCCCCACAGTATCCGTGTAAATAGGGCTTAAAACTGACTAAACTAACACACTAAACTACACCCCAACTATAAAACCCAAACACGCTAAATATCACAAATCTCTCAGACCTCACGACTCACTCCCGCTCTCACTGTGACTTTATCATGCTGAACTCTATTCAACTTCTGCGTCTTTTTCTTCTCTTGCTGTAGATTTTTTGATGCTTGACAAATAACTTTGAACCTCCGTCAGAAAGGAGGGGGGAGGTTGTTTATCTGTTGGGCGGGGGTGGGAGGTGAAAGTGGAGGGTGATGGAGGTGTTTTGTCCCTG